CCCCTGCATCGGCAGGCGGACTCTCAACCACTGCGCCACCAGGGAATCCCACACCTACCTTTCTTTTTTCTTTTTTTCTTTTCATTTTTTACTTTATGATGGTATTTGCTGACAGAAAAGTGCATGAAACATCATGTAGAAACTTAGAGTTTTCCCAGAGTGAGGGACCAGGTAAACGCCACCTAGGGCACCCCCCCTTTCTTCTCAGACTTTCACTGAGGATCATTCCTTGCTTTTCTTCATAGCTTTGCCACCTGTGTGTGTAGCCCTAAAGAGAAGAGTTTAACTGTGTTTGCTCTGTGCCTTTGTGTAAATCGAACTCTGCAGTCTGTATTTTCTGTCTGTCTTCCTATGCCGAGCATTAGGTGTGTTTCTTTTCATTGCTATGGAGTATCCCGTGTTAGGAATATATTTCAGCTAACTTCCTGGTTCAAGGATTGGGTTGTTTCTACATGTGGGTGGTTTCCATTTGGGGCCACTAGGCCCCTCCTTTTCTGTGTCTGACTCTGTTTCGCTCCCAGACAGAGCCTTGCCAGGAACCAAGCGGCTCAGGGCTCGGGGTCCAGGGCCGCCCACTGGACTCTTCTGCTTCGGAGGTCCAAGGAGAAGGTGCGGGAAGGCCTGCGCTCCGTGCAGCCCTGGGATTGGACGCTGAAGAGGATTGGGGGTACGGTGGGCTTTGGTCTGGCATCTTGGGACGGGACTGGAGTCCCGGGCCTGAGGGAGGAGGAGTCTGGGACCAGAAAGGAGCCCGCGGCCTCTCTGCTGCCCCCTGCAGGCCAGTTTGGCGCCGGCACCGAGTCCTACTTCTCCCTGCTGCGCTTCCTGCTGCTTCTCAGCGTGCTGGCCTCCGTGCTTGTAGCCTGCATGATTCTGCTGCCCACCTGGTTGGAAGGGGCTCCCCCTGGTCCCCCTGCCCCTAACGCCTCCTCACCCTGCGGCTCCTACAGGCCCGGCTCTCAGAGCCTGGTCCCCTTCTCCACCCATCTCTTCAATTTGCTCTCCGGAGAGGTGCGTGCCTGGGTCCCTGGGAAGCCCCCGCTCTGAGCCTTGGTGCCCGCAGTGACCCCCGACCCTGATGGCCCAGCTCCCTGAACCCTGCCTCTACCCAGCCCCGTGGTGACCCCTGCCCTGCCTTTCTTTCCCCAGGGTTTTCTAGAATGGTCTCCTCTCTTCTATGGGTTCTACCCGCCCCGCCCACACCTGGCCATCACCTACCTGTGCTCCAGCTTTGCCATTTGCCTCCTCTACCTGCTGCTCATCCTGCACCGGTCAGTGACACCCCTACACCCAGGCCCCCCAGACCATAGGGGAGTAGCAGTGATAGATGCCCTCCTCCAGAATCCCGAGGCTTGCTCTGTGGTCCCTTTCTCTCCGTTTGAGTTGCAATCGAACTTTAAAATGCTTCATGATTGCTGCAGGCCAGGGATAAAGATGAGAAGTTTCTCCCTCCTGTGACTTACAGTCTAGTGGGGAAGGTAAGATATTAAGCAAGCAAATTAATGACATCTTTTCTGGAGGGGAGAATGCTAAACAAATAGAGGTGATTGATTCACTCATGCAACAGATATTTATTGAGCAGATACTATGGGCCGGGCATTGTTCTAGGCAGCTGGCAAAAAAGAACAAACAAACAAAAATCCAACAGAGTCTGGTCCTGGGGGAGCTGACATTTTAACAGGAGAGACCAGTGATAAGCAATAAGCCCTAATAAGTGGGTTGCATGGCTTGTTAGAGGGTGATTGGGTACAAGCA